CCCTCCCTGAGCTCTGCTGGTGCCCCTCAGTCCTGACCCACAGCCCCCTGCTTTCCCAGCCCTGGGCTTCCCCCGCCCTGAGCTCTGCTGGTGCTCTTCAGTCCCGACCCACAGCCCCCTGCTATCCCAGCCCTGGGCTCTCCACAGATCTGTCAATGTCCCTCAATCCTACCTGACCCACAGCCCCTCTGGTATCTTATCCCCGGGCTTTGTCCCTCATCCCCCACAACTCTGCTACTGACCCTCAATCCCAACCTGAGCACCTCCTGGAGGGCCGAGTCCTACAAGCACCTCCACCCGCAGAGCTCCCCCCGACTTCAAAGGGAGCCGTGCTGCAGGACCAGAGGTGTGAGGCGCCCTGAGGAAATATAATTGAATCGGGTGCATGGGTTTGCACCCAAGCTGCCCTTTCCAGCTGCGGTGTGGGGGGTGGGTGCTGGTCACTGCAGCAGGTGCACTGTCATTCTGAGGCCAAGGGGAATCCCAGGAGCTGGGCATGTCCTTCCAGGGGGAAAGGCAGGAGAGACCCAAAGGAGCCGTGACCTGATCTAAGGATCCCCTTGGCCGTGGCCTGCTGCTCTCTGACCCCGGCAGCTCCATCACCCCCTGGCAGGATCCTTGGCCCGCGGTTCCTTCCCAGGAGCTTCTGCTGGAAAATGCTGCAGTAAGAGGAGCGGAGAACAAGGACGGGCAGGCAGGCTGAGGGAGGCGTGGACAGAAATACTGGTGGAGGAGATGGGCAGAGAACTGCAGCAGATGGGGAGAAGGTTGGCTGGGGAGATGGAAGTGAGAGAAGAGATGGTCCCTAGAAGGAGGCAGGGTAACGTGAGCTCACTGGGCAGGGCCTAAGGGCAGCGTGGCTCAGTGGGTAGGGTGCTGCCATTCCCAGCTCTGCTCCTGGCTGGCAGGGTGACCCTGGGCAAGTCGCCCCCCTTCCTGTTTCCCTCTAAGGCCTTTGTCTATTTAGACTGCACGCTCTTTGGGGCAGGGACGGTTGCTTCCTATGTCCACCTGTGGCACTGAGCACGGTGGTCTGGGGCCAGTTCTCAGCCCTGCTGCTGAGTCCCTGGGCGACCTTGGACAAGTCACTGACTGTCTTTGGACCTGAGGTCCACAATTGACAGGTAGGACATAACCCTGCCTTGGTCTGTCTTAGACTGGGGCAGGGGCCGGCTCTCCGGGCAGCACCTTGGGGCCCCCATCTCTTGCTATGGTATTTCCCTGGCCCCCCTTACCTAGGATCTGAGCCCCTGCCCATCTACAATGGATTTCTCCTGTTAGCCAGCACCGAATCGGGACCTACATTCCCCGCCGTGCACAAGCCCCCGGTGCTTCCGCTGGACACGGCTGGAACACACCTACAACCGGGCACACCAGGGCGCAGGGGGACCCTGCCGGGGATGGTGCACCCACGTCACTCTCTTTCCCCAGGCGCTGGAGGAGCTGAAGATGTCTGGCTCCATAGCATCCTATGACCAGCTGGTGCGGCAGGTGGAGGCGCTGAAGAAGGAGAACACCCATCTGCGCAGGGAGCTGGAGGACAACTCCAGCCACCTCTCCAAGCTAGAGAATGAGACCTCGGACATGAAGGTGAAGGCGCTGGCAGCCCCGGGGCCCAGCCCTCGCTGAGCATGTCACCCAATGCCCTGCAGCAGGGCGGGGGGGCGGGTTTCCAGCTGGGTTTCCTGGAGAGGGAGGGGGGCCTAGTGGGCGGAGCACAGGGCAGGCAGCTGGGAGGTCCAGCGTTCTGACCCCCCGCTCTGCTTTTGACTCAGACAGTTGTGTTGCTTCTCTGGGCCACGTTCTGCTCGGATTTACACCCTGGCGAGGCAGTGAATTTGCCCTTTCCGTGCCTCAGTTTCCCCACCTGGAGCTACGACTCTTCCCCCCCAAAAAAAGGGTTAACCAGGTCTGCTCTGTACTAGAGCTCACTGGGGCATGTATTTCATGTCCTCCCCCACCCCCGTAGCTTGTGCTTTAGTCAGACCATGGGGAGGGCTGTAGGAGCGGAGTGCTTTCACAATCTCCCCCTTTGTGCCCCACCCCTCCGCTGGCCCGGCTGGAGCGATGCCGGCCGAGATGTCGACTTTGCCTCTTGTTCTCCTGCTGCTGGGAAGAGCTGGTGAAAGGGGCTGAGCTCGGAGCCCTGGAAATTAATGTTCTTTGCCCATCCCATCCCCTGGGCCCGTACGTGTAACCCACACGCTTGCAGCGTGGTGGTGTATTCCTCACTGGTGATGCCTAGGCCACGCATAGCAGCTTGTGGGCCAGCGCTGGCCATAGCTAGTGCAGGCGGGGGTTTGATCCCTGCTGTTAACAACCCGCCCAGGAGCGCAGCCAGCCTGCCCTGCAGGGATCCCCCTTAGGAGTAAGAGGGGAGCCCGTCTCCGTGGCCCATTTGCATCTTGGCTTCTCTGCAGGGGCCTGGCTGGCTTGACTTGTTTGCGCTGTGTTCCTCTGTTTGTTAGGAAGTCCTGAAGCACCTTCAGGGCAAACTGGAGCAAGAGGCCCGAGTCATGGTGTCCTCCGGACAGACAGAGGTTCTGGACCAGCTGAAAGGTGAGTGAGACCGGAGAGGTGGCCCGTCCAGGGAGGTGAGGGCAGGTGGGGTTCTGTTCTGCACCAGGGGAGTCCTGCAGGGCTTCTGGTGGCCGGTGGGGTGATGCAGCAAGAAGCCCAGAACCTGGGGCCGGGGGCAACATGGAAAATAAATTGTCCTTGAGCCAAGAAAGGAGAAGGCCAGCGTTCTGCATGGCGGGGAGGACTGGGGCCAGGACTCCGGGGTTCCAGCCCCAGCTCAGATGGGGGAGTTGCGTTTAGTGGTTAGAGCAGGGTCCTGAGGGTTATCGATCCTGGGTTCTGTTGCTGGTCCTGGGTTCTGTTGCTAGCCCTGGGAGGGGAGTAGGGTCTAGCGGATGGGCTGCTGGGCCAGGACTCGGCAGATCTGGGTTCTTTTCCCAGATCTTCCACTGACTCCCTGTGTGACCTTGGAGAAGATCCTGATCCTTACTATGCATCAGGCTCTACTTACACATGGAAGTCGCATGCTGCAAGCGTGGGAGGGACAACGAGTTTCAAACCCTAGGCTGTTCATTTAATAGTAGGAATCTAGAGCCAATGATCCACTGACTCCTTCGATGCACCTATAGGCCCTGATCCTGCAAACCCCTACCTGTGTGCTTTAAACACACGAGCAGTTTCATTTGCTTCAGTGGAGCTACGCTGCTTTGCACTATCTGACGAACTGGCCCTAGACCAAATGGTGCCCCAGGCGAAGTCCGTCTTCGGCGGCCCCCCGCCTCCATTTGAATACCTTATTTTTTATTGCATTTGTAGCCCATTTCACGACTTGGATGCACAATTTACATGCATGATTTGTCCCTGTCAGATAAGACGATAAATTTGTCTGTTGCATGAATAAATACAGATTTACAGATCCTAACAACAAAAACAGCACCCCGAGTCCGGCACCCCCCAAGCCTGGCACCTCAGGTGCCCCTAGATCCAGCCCTGTTCCTCCCCCATCCCCGGTGCCAAGGGAGTCCCCTGGCATAGCCAGCCAGCATCCTGTTCAAACACAGCTACACGGTTCCCCTCCCAGTGTGAGCAGAGCATGAGGAGGTGCTGGCCCACTTAACTCCCCTTAACTCTGCCCACGTCCAACTGAGTTTGAACCATCTGATCCGTGAGCAGCCTTCACTTTGCTGGGAAATGCAAGTGGCGTATCGGGGCAGCCTATTATAAGATGCTACCGCTTCCCACTCCCACCATGCCGAGTTTGCTGGTGTGGACAGGACCAGACTGAGTGATAAGCAGGGTAGGGAACCATGTAACAACCAGGGGCTCGGTTCACTGCCCCACCTGTGCCGTGGTGCATGGGATTCACCCCGGGGGAAAGGAGGGGCAGGGATTGTGTGAGCTGTCACCAGGCCCCGGGGCTTCTGATGGGGCTGAGGATGCAGCTTTAAGTGGCTGCTGGCTGGGAGAGCATAGACTGGGGTCCCCGTCTCCTGAAGCTGGATCCTGGCAGAGGTTGGTTTGGGGGTGCCTTGCAATGCTACAACCATCCTCTAGGGGGAGCAGCGATCCAGGGCCGGGTCAAGACCCAGGGGCCGCTAGCAAGGCTCAGTCCCACTGTTCCTCCGAGCACCATCCACACGAGAGTGCCCTTGTTCCCGCTGCCCCCCCCCCAGCTCTGCAGATGGACATCACCAGCCTCTACAACCTGAAGTTCCAGCCTCCCGCCCTGGTGCCCGAGCTTGCCTGCCCCGAGGGCAGCCCCGTGCACTCAGCCGCTCCCCAGAAGAAGGACAGCATGGGGGAGCTGAGTCGAGCCACCATCAGGCTGCTGGAGGAGCTGGACAGAGAGAGGTAAACATACACACCCGTCTGTCTGTCCCCATACACATCCCTCTGTCTGTCTGTCTGTCTGCCTCTCCCCCTGTGCACCCATCTGTCTGTCTGTCCCCCTGCACACCTGTCTGCCTGCCTGTCCTCTTACATACCCGTCTGTCTGTCTCCATATGCCCATACACCTCCGTCTGTCTGCCTCTCCCCCTGCACACCTGTCTGTCCCCCTACACATCCCTCTGTCTGTCTGTCTGCCTCTCCCCCTGTGCACCCATCCGTCTGTCTGTCCCCCTGTGCACCCGGGTGTCTGCCTGCCTGTCTGTCTCTCTCCATCCTTCCCCCATCACCACAGTGTCTGAGCCCTAGCTCGCCAGGTGGTTAAGGGGCCCTTTGCTGCTCCCATTACCCAGCATCCTGTGCAGCCCAGCACTCTGCCCAGTCACCTTGCTGCGTGCCCCGGCCCGGGATGCTCCCAGGGGCCATTAGCCAGCCCTTCAGCTGGGCTCGGTGTGGGGAGAGCCTGGTGAAAAGGCCCCTAGAGGATTTGTCCCTCTTCCTGTCGCTCTTCCCCCTTCTCGCGAGGGTTCTGGCTGGGGGGGTTGGGTTGGCATCAGCTCAGCACTGGGGGTGGGGTCCATGGAGTGGGGGGATCCGTGACTGCCCGCCCTCTACCCCCTCCCCTTCTTCAGGTGTTTCCTGCTGAGCGAGATTGAGAAGGAGGAGAAGGAGAAGCTCTGGTACTACACGCAGCTGCAGAGCCTCTCCACGCGCCTGGACGAGCTACCTCATGTGGAGACGGTGAGTCCCTGGGCCCAGGGCCCAGCCCGAGACCTGAGCCAGCAGGGATCCCTCCTCTGCCAGGCGGACCTGGGTGCTGGGAGGTCCCAGGGGCTCATGGGATGTTGAGGACTCAGCCCAAGACCTGAGCGAGTCCCCTGCCCCGTAGGATGCGCTTTGCCCCCTGGGGAATACCCTGTGCTGGGGTACAGCGGGGCCAGCCAGACTGCTGGGATCTCGCCCCTCACGCCCTGCCTCTCCTCCCGGCTCCCAGTTCTCTATGCAGATGGATCTGATCCGGCAGCAGCTGGAGTTCGAGGCCCAGCACATCCGCTCGCTCATGGAGGAGCGCTTCGGGACGACCGACGAGATGGTGCAGAGGGCTCAGGTCAGGGCAGGGCAGCTGCTCCCTTCCCGCCGGTTATTCCCCTTCAGCTTCACCCCTCTTCCCCCAGTAATGCAGCCCCCCCTTTGCAAAACCAAGTAATGGGAGGGATCAGACTGCAAAGCCCTCCCCGCAAAGCGGGGCAGTGTGTGTGTGTGTGTGTGTAGGGGGGGAGAAGTGGATCGGGAAGCAACAACCCCCCCAAAAAATATGGGCAATGGGAGGCATTGGGGGGGATCAGGCTCTCCCCTGTCACTCCTGAAATCTGGGTAGTGGCCGGGGGCAGATGAGGGTGCAACCCCCTACCCACAAAGCGGGACAATAGGGGGTGGGTAGGAATCAGGATCATGTTCTACTATGGGGTGGTTTATTTTTGCGTGGGGGAGTAGCTCATCTGGGAGAGGGGTGCCCCCCCTTCCCCACCTGGTGGCTGAGTCTGCCTCTCTCTAGGCCCCGTGCTGCCTAGCCCCATCCCCTCACGGGACACGGCTGGAAGGCACTGTGGGAGGTGGGGGGCTGGCGCTTGCTGACTCTATGGTTAAATCCCCGCAGATCCGAGCGTCCCGCCTGGAGCAGATCGACAAGGAGCTGATGGAGGCTCAGGACCAGGTGCAGATGTCGGAGCCGCAGGTAACGGGGCAGGAGCCGGGTCCGCTGGGCCTCAGGCTGCAGCCCCCGCAGGAAGGAGCGGTGGTGCTAACCGTCCCTGTCCTGTGTGTGCAACGCCACTGTGCACTCCCCCCACCGCGTCACCCCTACACGTGCACACACCCGGCCGTCTACACCGCGAGTGTCGCTCATTCACCGGCACGCACAGCATCACCCACAGGCGCGCACACCCGCACATTCACACCTGCGCTCCAGACTCTTGTGCACACTTACGTGTGGGCTCGCACACTCGCACCTGCCATTTGTAGTCACCCACAAACTCCCCTGCACTGACCCATTGCACACGCACCCAATGGGAGCCGGTGCTTACAAAGACAGGTATGCACTCCCCTCCCACCCATCAGTCCAGGTGTGCCCGTTCTCCACCTGCACACACCCCTCATTGCACCAACACCTCCCCTGCGCACACACCCCAGGCCCAGATCTCTCTCTCACTCACACACACACACACCTCATTGCACCAACGTGGGGGAGACCTCCCCTGTGCACACACCCCAGGCCCAGATCTCTCTCTCACTCACACACACACACACACACACACCCCTCATTGCACCAACGTGGGGAGGACCTCCCCTCGTGCACACACCCCACGGCCCAGATCTATCTCTCTCTCTCTCTCTCTCTCTCTCTCTCTCACACACACACACACACACACACACACACACACACACACACACACACA